GGCGAGTGATATCTAAACAGGTCCTGAGCTTCCCACTTCACCGACACGCACGTACCGGCGTGGTGAAGTATTCTTAGTTTTTTTCCGTAAAGTCACGTAGGTAAAACATTAAAATTAATAAAAGTAAAATAAAATAAAAATCACGACGTTTCGGAGGCAACACAAGCTTCCGTCTTCAGGTGGAACCGTCACAGCCACGACAGCTGTATCAAGTAAAATTTTTATTTTATTTTACTTTTATTAATTTTAATGTTTTACCTACGTGACTTTACCGAAAAAACCTAAGAATATGAATCCTTGCAGTCACGAAAGCTTCAAATCTAGTGGTGAAGTATGGTCAAACAACCCACATGAACGACACAGAGTGGTTGATGTCCTCATCCAACAGTGGATTGACAGAGGGCTGTAAGTAACAAATTAAGCAATTGGCATCACTTCACTAATAATTATAGAAGGCGATACGTGTGTGATTCTTTTGCCACGTTTCAAGTTGACTCGCACACTGAGCAAGTCAGTCCAGTCAGCGAGAATGAACGATTCTTGCGCGGAACGAAAGTCACAAACGGTCAGTGCGTTAAGGGAGCAGCAATGCATTAACATTGCAAAACTAGCGTTCGACAAATCATTACAAGCTTGGCAAGCCCGTCCATTAACTTGACCTCCTGCGTGTCCGCACAATAGATCAGCCCCACGGCTCCCGGCGGCACATGTCCATCCCGAGAGGGTGCTCCCTACAGCAGTGCCGCGATCGTCCGTAGAAGTTGTAACGGACTTCGCGAAAGAAAGAAAGACAAAAAATCAAAGGCTAAATCACTTATGGACGAATTGCTGTTGATACTCTTTGGTTCTTTCGGTAAAGTCACGTAGGTATAAAATAAAATAAATCACGACGTTTCGGGCGCAACACAAGCGTCCGTCATCAGGTGGGAAAGCATGGTCTGCTGCTGATGCAGACCGTTTTAAAACAGTCGTGATTAATTTTATTTTATACCTACGTGATTTTACCGAAAGAACCAAAGAGCGTGGATTCCTGCAGTCACGAAAACTTCAAATCAAGATTGAATTGCTGTTGAGTTTGAGTGAGAGAAAGGGGTGGCCATTATGAATAACACACTAATGATAATAATGAGTCAATTTGTTAGTCACACCACACGTATGGCTCAGAGATCATCCCACAAATGAAGGTGCTATGTTGACGCTTTGTAAGCTGCTGGGAACATTTCCGTCCTAAGCCTATTGCAGAACTGGCTGACACTCGGTGAAAGTGCCACGTCGTCTCCTCTCGAAGCGGCACATCCACCATCCATACAAATACAAAGATCCCCCGTATAGCCTTAACAGACTGTTGGGGTAAGTCCTGTCAGTGAGCACCTATAAAGTCTAAGTGCAGGTGGCGGGGAGTGGGGGTCAGGAATTCTCGCCGTCGCTGCCCATCGGCGGAAATGAACGGCGAACAGTCGATAGCGTTGTCCGTCAGGGCGTCACAATCAATTTGCTCTTTTTTTCCGTGACAGGAAATCCAAGCCGGCTTGGCCTTGAAGTGCATGCGCCCCCCCCCCCCCCCCCACTTTCGATAAAACACGAGAGTGCCGTCTTTAGGAGGGGATGATTTGTCAACACGTGTAAGTAATCCAACCGTAGATTTGTTTTTTGTTCGAATCACAAGTTAAAGTGACGTAGGACTGTATAGAATTCATGGCTCTTTGCCGCGCCCCCTGTTCCCCCCCCACCGCGCCACCCCGCCCTGTCCCACCGCCGTGTGATTTGACTTTTCATAGCCACCTCAAGCGTGTGGTGTTGGTTTATACGAGAACTGGACTACTCGATTATATCAGTGATCGATTACTCTACCGCTCGTAAGTTCGACCGGTCGGATAACGCGATAAAAATTGTTTGGGGGAAGATTAGAACAGAAACCTCTCTCCTCTTGTCCGCACATTGTGCCGCTGGACGGGAGGTGACGAGCGAGACCTTAGCGACGCCATCGGCACCGTCAGCCACGTCGTTTGTAAAAGAGGCCCCGCAAAAAAAATGTTCGATCAAAACTTTCGCCAATTAATCAACCGAATCAAACAATCGTTCAAGCTCTAGATTAGATATCACATTTTTACAAATAATTAATAATAATAAAAACATTAAGTCATTCAGTTTTTTTCCAGGAAAGCACTCGCGGAATGGCAAAACGCTTTTTTTTCCAACAGCGACCTGCTTTGGAAAATTTGGCCAATTTAATGAATAAGCGTGGCTCCGTGAAGCACTCCCACGTGAAAGGCCGCACCATTGCTCTCGAGAGACCGTTGCCTACGTGGGCGGCTCAGTCACCGGCAAGCCATCGAAAGAAAACGACCTCGGAGAAAGGGTTTGCACACTGCAGAGGGCACGCATGCACATGCACGCAAGTGCGACCCGAATGGAGCCCACGCAACCACAAAGTGCTCACCACGAATGAACCGCACGACACCTCGCTGATCTCGTTGAGGAGCGCAAACCACCGTCACAGCAGCAGCAGCGGCTTTTGGCTAACCGTCGAACAAAGACGGTCGCCGCGTCACGCGCTTTCAGATGCACTTCTGCGGCCGTCTGGAACGCTCTTGCTTCTAATATTAGGAAGCCACTGGAGCTATGCACTTTTAAATCTAGAACTGCTTTTTGTATTTAGTTTGTTGTCCTTCCCCCACACCTCCAATTAGCACGGTTGGCTATGTACGGTGCGAAAGTTCAACGTACGTACGTATAAAGCACGCTTATGTGCATTCCACCAGGGTTGCCTGCCGTAAGACCCTACCGACTCAACAGTCGCAGGCCATAACAAAGTCAGAATGAGGATGGGACGAGGGCGCGGCAGTCTTATTATCGAGAAGAAGAAGAAGGCTGGATAACGCAGAGACGTCACCAGGAAAACTGATGCAGTGAGAAACTGATGTGAGCAAGACGGCAGGAAGGACCTCGGGCCAAACGGGAAGAAAAAGGAGACAGAGACTTGGCCCCAGGCGGAAAATAGCAAATTACATTAGCAGAGAAAGCGGCGAAAGATTATGAGAAGTGTACGAAACTCGCGTTGCCAACAGGTGCAGAAACGCTAAACGCTACCCGATGACGGTGATGATTCAAAGGAGGGGCCTCCAGATTAGCAGCCTCCTGACGCCACATGCGTAACGTGCATTAGTCTAAGATCATTAATCTCTCACCTCCGCCGTCACATGCACCCCGTTCATCCTCTCCCGTGCTTTAATCACGGTTAAGCCGCCCGCACGAACCGCCTTCGCGCGGCACGACAACGCACAACAGCGCGGAGCGGCGCAAACAACCGGCATTTCGCAGCGTTTTGTTTTTTTGGCGAGAGGAGATAGGGAAATTTGCCCGTCTGTTGTTATTTGCGGTGGGTGGGTGGGTGGGGGGCGGGAGGATTTGTTGGGGGCCTCGCCACCCGGTTTGAGAAAAGAGACGCGGGACATGTTTTTTCGCCGGCAGCGGTTGAATGGCAGCGTCCGTGCGGCCCCCCTAACGTTCGGTCTGGGCGGGGGGGGTTGCGAGCGACTGGGGCGTGACTCAGGCTCGCACTGGGAACGGCTCGAAGAGTTAAAATCGCAGCCTCTTGCGTCAATCGGAATTCTGCTGACAGCCTTCGTTTGAAAAGAGTAATTGTAAGGTGGCTGGAAAAAAACACGGCACCGCTGCGAGTTTTTTGGAGTTTGTGGAAGACGGTCAAAGTTTTGAGTCGTGCGGTCGTTTAAAAGGCGATGTGCGTCATTCAAGTCAAGCTTTCGATTTTATCGGTATTTACTGTTGTTGTAACATTGACAAAAGGCACCCCCCACCCCGACCTACGAAAGCGAAGTTTGAATATCGACGGATTCGCAATTTAAAATAAAAACGAATTGATTGGTCACACTGACGATCGCGCTTGGTTTCTTTCCATTAAAATCACTCGTTCGATAAAGCGCAGAGGGCACTTTAACGCCCTCTGAACGGCCTGTGGATTTCCATCCTTCTGCCCCAAAGCCGTCGACCAAAAAAACCTAAGATAATGGACAAGAAAATCACGAGCACGCCAATGTACCACGCACGACAAATTATTCATGCCACCCAGTTAGGCGTTTAGACTTTTATGGGGCAAACGACATTGTCAGAGAGCACTTATTTAGGCCGGCTTTGCACAGCACACACAGCGGGGATGCGGCCAGACTGGCCATTCTAGATTTGAAGCTTTCGTGACTGCAAGGATTCATACTTTTAGGTTTTTTCGGTAAAGTCACGTAGGTAAAAAATAAAATTAAAAGTTAATAAAAGTAATAATGGAAATAAAATAAAATAATTAATCACGACGTTGTGACGGTCCCACCTGATGACGGAGACTTGTGTTGCCTCCGAAACGTCGTGATTTATTATTTTATTTTATTTCCATTATTACTTTTACAGCCTGGCCATCTTTGATCTCCAGCATGCTGCTGTTAACACAAACTCGTACAGGGCACGCATTGAATGCCGAATCAAGCTCGAGGCATCGTTCTATAAATTTAGGGATTTTCATTTGCGTGCACGAATTTTCTGCAGACGTCTCATACTTTTGTTCGGACAATTGGTCCCGCTTATTTTTTTATGGTATCGACAGCGGGGGGGGGGGGGGGGGGGCTTAAAGCACAAACTCAAATACCAAATACCACTTTACACTGAACAGCACAGCCAGAAATCGAACCCATCATATCAAGGTCTTGTCACGGCAAACAAATCATCCCACAGCACTGTGCACCCCAACGACAAAGACCTCACACACACACGATAATCCCATCCTCACGCGATCCACCCACACCCCCCCGCCCCCCAAACACTGCCCCAAGCACCTCAACTCAGGCAGACGGCGCTGCTGACAAAGCGCTCTGCGCACTGCAGGCGTTCGCAATCAAAGCACTCCGCGCGAGCAAGTAAAGTGGCGACCGCGACAGCCCCCCCCCCCTCCACGCCCCCCTCCACCCCCCGCCCCCCCGAAACAAATCACTTACCTTCGCATTTTTTGTTTTTCCTGCGGATCCACCGTTCCAGGGTCTCCACGCTGACGCTTTCCGCCACGTACTCATCCAGCACGTGCCGGTTGAGCGACAGGTAAGTCTTTACCTTTTCGTCCGTAAGGCCTGTCGGAGGAGAGAGGGAGGGAGAGAGGCACGGGGTGAGCGATCGCTACAACATCCGTTTCTTCAAATGACCCGCAAAGACATTATCAGAGTTTGTTTTTATTTTTCGAGACGAGCCTTTTGCGGGCCCGCGCGCATAATCATCCGATTCCGATAACACAGAGCGAGATGGGGCTGCTGCTGCTGCTACTGCCGCTGTTGCTGCCGCTGCTGCTGCCGCTGCTGCCGCCGCTGCTACTGCCGCTGCTGCTACTGCTGCTGCCGCTGCTACTGCTGCTGCCCGCAGAGTAGCGGTCGGCACACCGGGATTGCGATCCGGCGGTCGTCAGGTTCGATTTGATCTTCCGAGCCGGAATCAAAACAATGGTGGGCACATTTATTCAATTCCCACCACCTACTGTCTCCCCCTCCCGCTAGTCCCACCTCTGTCCACCCAGCAATCGCAGGGCTGCACCATCATGTTTGAGCACAGAGCGATATCATATCGGAAGGATCGCGACAGAGGTGGCGGCAGCGGCGGGCAGCTTGGGGAAGCCTTCATCTAGCAGTGGATTGATCATGGCTGACGCATGAATGTTGAACTCCTTTCGCACCAACCAGGCCAAGGCAAACACCGCGTGCCATCGCATTCATCATCTGCTCACCTGATCCCACAAACCTGGCAGCTGTGTACAATCGCAACGAGATCATAACAACAACAACACGTGGTCAGAGATCCCGTAGTAGGTGGGGTGGGTGTTGTGGGGGGATGTGCAGATGACGCACGTTGGTGAACGGATGGGGGGGGAGATGTAGATGAATGACAGGGTGGCGAATCTGGCCGACAGGACAGAGAGGAATGTAGGGGGTGGGTGGGTGCGGGTGCGGGTTGCTACTACACACACTGCCAGCCTTCAACCACCAGAAAGCGGACTGCGGTAGACGGAGGGGACGACATCAATGCGGGAAGGAGAGAGGCCGTGCCCAACAGACCCCCCCCAACCCCCCGCTTGGCTCCAATAATTCAAGACTATAACAATAGGTTTTACCCCTTTCTGGCAATTAAACAGGAGGTGTCAAGGTGTTAAAACACGAAACAGAATCCTTACTCGAGGAATCCTGTCTGCATTAAGCACACGTGCTTGTGGTGGACATGCAAACAAAAAAAAAACATGCTCCGACGATAGATGACGCATCGTCTTGGAAACTGATTGGTCCACGCCAGAGACGGCTTTCTGTTCCCCGCAAGTACGTGTGGTCACGGTAATGCAGACAGGATTCCTTGAGTAAGGATTCCGTTTGGTATTTAAACACCTTGACACAAATATTTAATTGCCAGAAAGGGGTAAAACAGATTGTTATATTTCAATACTGGCAAGAAAGCTCCCAAATTCCAGGCAAACTTTGTCCACGACTCGTCGGTGTCCAAAATGCCCATCAGCCGCTGTGACCGAGAGCTTACACGTCGTCACGGCTGGTTGTGGCGTGAATTGTTCAGCTCGGCAGATCCGAGTCGATGAGTCGCTTTTTTCCCTGCGAAAGGGGGTTCTCGCGAAACGCGAAACAGGCGGCAGGCAGTCGCTGAGTGGTCAGAACGTGCGTGGTCTCTCCGCGCACGACACTCAAACGAGGCCCTTCGTCCGAAACAACCGCCGCATAAATGAATCATCACATCGTTGCTGATAATTGTGCCGTAATGTTGCCAAAAGACACCACACAGGACCTTACAAGAGGTCCGTGCGCACGTTGCTTCAATTGTGGGCATTGCTAAATCTGTGTTTTGTTGTTGGAATTAATTCAAAAGGCAGGGGTGGAGGGAGGGAGGGGTTATAGGCCAGTGGTACAGCCTGGTTGGCATTGACCCTCGTGCAACAAACGAATTGGGACCCCCCCCCCCTGTCCAATTTCCCCGCTCGTCGGGAGTTGCCACTCGTCCCGATTTTCCTAGGAATCATCCCTCTTGCTTGTTGAGATAGCTGTCCAGAAAATATATGTAAGTGCTGCCAGGATAACATAAAAGAAGATTCTGGCTTTTGTCAATTGCGCGAACAAAAAATACCACTCAAGGCGACATATTCACGTGTGCCTCTCCCCCCCCCCCACTTCCGGTTTCGTGAGATATTCTAATTCTGCTTCGCACGATATATGTCGGGTAATTTTGGCTTTGGCGTGCCTCAGCTGCGGAAACCCTAACCCTTCTTCGTAACCTGGAACTTGGGTCCCTCCGTCAGCCCGTCCATAATCCCCAGTGTGCAGTCACGCCACCTGCACACTTGACAGCTCTACACGGTGATGGAGAGTCAAGGTCTTTCCTACTTTTCGACGGATCTGATGGAACATCATCACCTCCACCTCACTCAAAAGAGGCCCCAAACGGGGATGCGCAGACACACCAGATAAGTTTCTTGCAGTGGAAAAACAAGCATCCTATAACGCTTCTTGAGCTGCGCCAGGCTGGCTTGGCATGGCCCCGGCACGGCTTACTTGCGGCAGTGGAAAAAGATCGATTTGACATCGCGCCGCACACTCCTACCGCTCGCTCACACTGCAACTCTGATTTATCTCAACCAAAACTAAATCACTTTCTGCAGGAAATAAATAAACCGGTTTGGTTGCAACCGTTTTTAACGAACCAAAACTCCTCGAGGCGGATCGTAATTAACGACGTTTAGAGAAATAAATGGCTTGAAATCTCCCCTTTTAGACGAACGGTCTATTCCATGGGTTGCACTGGATCGGTTTATTTTCTTTCGCGTAGAAAGGGCTTGTGACGTTAACGTGTTTACTCAAGAGTGCTGCCCCCCCACACACACAGCGATTGCGCCCCCCCCCTCAACACCGCACGCTAAGCCCCTCTCCCCCCACCGTGCCTCACAGCAAAAAGCACCTGGGTTTGATTGCCGACCCGGGCGCCTTTTCTGTGTGGAATCTATATGTTCTCCCTCTGTTCTGCATGGCCAAACCTCATCCCGATGTTGAAAGATTTCCTGCAAATTACTCAATCGCGATGACACACGAAGCTAAAACTGTTTAAACGAATTTATTTTTGTATTTAACCAGATAAGGCCCACGGAGCTGCATAGCTCTTTTCATAAGCGACCTGCCCACAAATGATAGCTCAACGAAGTGGCTTATCACGTGAACATTTATAGCAGCCAAATACTGTAAACGCGTGATATTTCTAAATGTGGAGGGGGGAAACTGAAGGATCTGGAGAAATATACACGCGACCACGGGATGAACATGCAAACTTCAAATATACAGCAGGCGTCAGGGTCGGAATCGAACCCACGACCTCCAGCATACCAGGCGAGGTAGTTAACATCTCCTAGCCACTGTGGTGCAGCAGCAGCAACATCACCGCTATGCTGTGAAAATCTTTACGGGATCCGTAAAAAAACGAGAGCCTTGAGCCTCGGCGAGACTTTCCCGGATAAACAAGCGGCGGCATGATGAAATAAAAAAAAATTCTCAAAATAATAAACTTGTACCAATTGTCTCACTGGAGACGGTCAGTGTCCCCGTGGGGGTACGGCGAGAACGTTTATTTCCATTGCCCATCCCCGATGCCTCGAATGACCGGCGAAGGAGGTTGCCTGAACGTTTTCGCTGACACGGCGATTCCTAACGCCGCAACCCCTCAAAGCGGCTGCTGGGCAAGCGGGAGTGATCATATTAGATTCGCTTCGGACCCACACGGCGGCATTACGCATCCTCCACTGGGAATAATAATCGTACATTGCGAATGCCGTGGACGGATATCGGCGGCGCGATAATGTCTTAGACATCGTCGTCATTAGCCACCAGCCGTGATCAAAGATCCCCCGACATAGCCTTAACAGACTCTTGAGGCAAGCGCTGATAGCGAGCATCTAGTAAGTGCACTTGAGGGTGGAATGGCTGGTGGAATGGCTGGTGGAATGGCGAGCATCGCGCCCGACCGCCTTTGTCTCCCCAGTGCTGTCACGTACAAACAACGCCAGGCGCTTGCTTCGGACTCACAATACCAGCCTGGCGAAGGAGCCAAGGCAGATTCAGACACCACTTGCCACTGATGTTATCCAGCGGCCCAGCGTTGACCTCTGCGTGTGTACATGTGCTAGCCACACAGACACACGAGCAAACGAGTGTATAGTCAACATGGACATGTACCCACGAACAGTGTCAACACGCACTCACGCCGAGGGACGGTGAGGGGTGGGGAGGGCATGAAGGAAAACCGGGGGGGGTTACGTTTCCAGGGTTCTATAACACATGTTCACCGCTTCACGTCGCAACGTTTCCGTGTTCGCTGGACAACGTTAACAGGACGTCAGTGCACGCGTCACTTTGATATACCCAAAGTCATTGATGTGTCCGAGACAGGAAGGCACCATCAATAATTCACGACTGAACTGCGTCAACACACATCCATGCGGTCATGGTGACAACAACAAAAAGTCGGCAAGGATTGCGCTCGATTCAATTTTTTTTGTCAACGGAGCATTCGCGAAAATGTGAAGTGCGTAACCGTTTCATGCCCAATGATTTAATTTTCGCCGGACAGAAAAGTACAAAATTGCAACCTCCAACGTGAATGAGCGTATTCAACCGCAATGGCGAGGGCACAACGAGCGGCTTTCAACACAAGCCTCGCCATTACACGACTGCCCTTTGTCAATCCACTCCCGGCTGGTTGGAGGCTTAGGCCCGCGCCATGTGAGATTAGTTCGACCGTACCTCGCCCGGCGATTATTGATCGATTTTGGCGAGCAGCGGGCACAAGTTTGGCTATCGAGCACCGCCGACGCGAGCCATTCCCGGGAATTAAAAATTCGGGGTCGCCGGGTTCGCACGGCTAGTGCGCTAACCACAGCGCCACCGCTCCGACACCAGCCCACGAACTGCCCTCAAGTTTACATTGCGCGCACATGCTCATCGCCCGCACTATTTCATTTACCAGCAAATTTGTACAATGTCGCTTGCGCTGACAGACACGCGGCAGAAGCTTTTGAGAAAAAAAATTCCCTTTCATAAATGTA